GGTTACGATTTCGGCATTGAGCATCGTAAAGGCAGCGAGAACGTAGTCGCCGATACTCTCTCCCGCTGCATCGAGGAAGTTCTGATTGATCCGACGGAGTTATTGGGATTCGAGACGACCGAGTTTGCTGCAGAGGATTATTTGGAGTTGGTCCAAGATGTAGAGTCCAACAGGGAGAACTTACCGGACTCAAAGTTGACGGCGGACTGATCTTCAAGCGTTTGGGTAATCTGAATCTGGACGATGAACTGGAAGGATCCGAGTGGAAGCTGTGGATTCCGCAGAGCCTAACGCACAGCTTGATAGAGCGTGCCCATTCGGACCCCAAGGCTGGCCATGGTGGAATGCCGAAGACGTTGGAGACCATACGACGCCAGTTCTATTGGCCAGGGATGACTATCCAGGTGCGTGAATACGTCCGGATAGTCAGGATGCAGGTGGGAATTGGAAAAAGGGTAGAGACGGAAAGGCCATTCCAGAAACTCTACATCGATTTCCTGGGCAAGTCTAAGAGTGGTCACGCGTGGATTTTTATCGTGGTGGACCATTTCTCCAAGTACACCTTCGTAAAGGCCATGAAGGATGCGACGGCGTCTAACGTGGTGAGTTTCCTGGTGAACGAGGTGTTATACAAGTTCGGTGTGCCTGAAACAATACATTCTGATAATAGGAAGCAGTTCACATCCAAGGCGTTTGTGGAGATGATAGATGGCTTCGGGATCCAGCACATCAAGACGCCGATATACTCACCCCAGAGCAATGCAGCGGAACGGGTTAACCGTAGTGTCCTGGCAGCGATTCGCAGTTTCTTGGACGAAGATCACCGGGAATGGGGTGCACATCTGCCGGAGATTGAAGTGGCCATCCGGAACACTGTCCATTCGGCTACCGGAGAAGCAGCCGCAAGTTCCTGAAGGCCAGGGTGGTCAAATCCGTCGGCGGCAATGCATACTTGCTAGAGGACCTCCTAGGCCGCAGTCTGGGAGTGTATCACGCTAAGGACATCCGGCTGTGATCTGAAAGAAGGACACACAAAGTACACAAGCATAGCAGCAACATCAATAATACTTCCCGTCATGCGTGGGCCCGGACATCGGAGCATGCAATTCGAACTGGATCGTGGGCGCCGTTCGAACTGCAGGACGATATCAGTGCCGTGTTGATTCCTACCGTATCTCCAAAGCTACCAATTATTTCGTCGTTCTGCAGAGACTCCTGGTAGTGCCTCTCGAAATCTTTGGTTGGTGTTGCAGTTGGAGTCGATTGTGGGATACTTTCTATCGATATGTCAGGACGATAGGGCGATGGTTTCGGTGGCGCCCCCCTGTGGGGAATCTAGCGGACGATCTGGCCATTTGGCTTAATACCGGTTCGCTCAGGGATTATCTTCCATGACCTTGAATATGGCCAATGACCCAATTTTGGGAGAGGCAAGGGAATATGGCGGGATGAGAATGATGATAGGCAGATATTGAGGTAGTCGCACCCATATTGTCAAATGAGGCACACGCAGCGGGAGTAACTTAAATAAGTGTTTGTGCAAAATAATAGTGTAATTTATTAACAAATAATTGTCTGTAGGGCAACCGGGGTCCCAACAAAAAGGGCCCCGGAAGATTTATTTTGGAACTTTACGTTGGAAGGGATTTTGGAAATTCTCCTACGCACCTTAAACTGGATCCGAGAGCCTGTGGTGATGTCCCTGAAGCCGTTTTAGACGTACTCGAACCAGCCTACCCTGCCTTCTCGTACGCCGCCAACGCCAGGCAAACCATCCCCGGTGAGTCCGTTCCTGGGTGTCAGTCCCACTCGCCTTCGGGACCAACGGCGTCAATTTGCGCGGCGGTGAACCGTCACGCCCTTTTATAAACCGTCACCATTCCTCGGGGCTTTCCCGGCTTTAACGGCCGCTGGCCTCCGGCTCTCGTCCGGAATAGAATATCGCCCGTTATCTAGCCTAGAAGTGGCTGAAAATTGTTATAATTAATTATATGTATCTCATTGTTAGTCTTAATCGGAATACTTCCCTTAGTTACTTGTGAATTTGTCCGGATTCAGACCCTAAAACCATAGTTGTCCTCAGTGTTGCCTATTAAAAGGGTCGCGAGCCTTGGTTTTCGGTGGGGGAGATTGCAGCGCGCAATTACATGTTTGGCCTGTCCCTTCTTTTCCCAGGGAGCTCCTTTGGATCAGGTGACCCGACACCCAGATAGTGTGTCTCATTTGCGCCCCGTTTTAGTGTGAGCTCCACCAACAAATGACTGGTGGAGCATAGTTCCGCGGCGCCTGTAGCTTTTCCCAGGGAAGCAAGTTCCTCTGCTTTGACCGCCTAAGTTTTGAGACGGCGGCCAACTGTGATATTGAAGGCTGAAGAAAGAGAAATTAGTTAATGCAAGAACAACGATAATTATGTTAAGCTTAAACACTTGTACTTACCGCAGATATTAAATGTAATTGAAGTCCGAAATGTGTGAGTAAGTTGTCGCTGTGGGGGAGATGGAACTGATGTAGGCGCGAGGAGTGACTCCGACGGTCCGAATATGGGTGATGCCTCCGCGGAATCCACCGGGGCATCCTTGGTTGGGTGGGCGTGCTTGGCTAAGTCATCAATAGCCACCAAAACATTCAATTATTTCCCGTCATTTGTAATATTCTGCCTTTGTTTACGTTTTATATGTAGTGATGACCGATAGTTTAGTGATGTGAGACTGCGTAGTCGTCGATATTTATGTGGCGAGCTGTGGCATTAGGGGGACTCCGCCCTGAGAGAAACTGAGCTAGCGGCACTGCCAAAGGGAAAAATAGCAGTTTGTAACATTCCTGTCTAAATAGATCAAATAAAAACACATCTTAACGAGGTAAAAAACTAGTGACGATCGCACCTTTAACATACAAAAGTTCTGATATCAACATTTGTGACGAAAAATTATTACACTCGTCATTAAATACACTTTCTAAAATTTTCTCATTCGGCCCGCCCTAGCATACTATTTTAGCCTTTTTACCTTCATAGGCATTTTCTATTGCAGCGTGCCGAATGAGAAAATCTTAGAAAGTGTATTTAATGACGAGTGTAATAATTTTTCGTCACAAATATTGATATCAGAACTTTTGTATGTTGAAGGTGCGATCGTTACTAGTTTTTTACTTCGTTAAGAGGTGTTTTTATTTGATATCAGAAGTTTTTGTTTGTTTATATTTGCTCTCATAGGAGCTAGTATATACATTTAAATTTAAATTGGTCAATCATAATTTGTAAACCATTGTATTTAAACAAATTAAGTTTAAAAGGCGTTTAAGTATTTCAAAATACCTTTTAAACGAGGTGTAGCACATGTCTGTAGCTTCAGTAGTGTAGAACTTACAAACTAACGAAATTTAGCTATTTCTAGCTTTTTTTCCGCTAAAGCAGCGGGTTTTTCCAAAAGTCGTAAAACAAAAGTTTCCTATTTGGAACTCCTGAAAACAATTGAAATGATTCTATGAGCCTAAAATACAGTTTGGATACCCACGCACAAAATTAAACACTCAGGAAGCGTTAGTTGTTCTGAGCTGGCAAAAGTGGCTATTTTCGTTTCTGAATAACTTTTAAACGCGATTTTTTACATAAACATGATATATACCAAAATTTAAGGAATCTCAAGGGCTATACAGTTTAAAGTTGTAAGGAAAATCGTTAGAGCCGTTTTTGAGAAAATTAAAAAAAAGTTTAAAAAAAAGTTTAAACAAATTTTCTTTTGTTCATCTTCTTCATCTTCTTTTTAACTATTAACTTTACTTTCTTTTATTTCATATAGAGGCGTTTATAGCATTTAAAAATACCTTTCAAACGAGATGCAGCACAAGTCTGTAGCTTTAGTAGTATAACAGTTACGGCTTTCCGAATTTTAGCTATTTATAGCTGTTTTCCCGCTAAACTAGCGGGTTTTTCCAAAAGTGGTAGAACAAAAGTTTTTTATATCGATGTGATGAACGTCATATCAAATTTTCAGAACTTAAAAAACATATTTTGGACAAACTGACAAACAGAATTAAATTTTCATTTTGGGAAGAAGAAGAAAATCTTATTTTGGCTATAACTTTTGAACGGAGCGTCGGATTTTATTATATGACCCCTCATTCGACGGGTATTTTCAATAGGAATACAACTAAAACATTGCGAGGGGGATTTTATCCCCACCGGCCCCAACAGCTCCAAAATTCGAAATTTTCACTTTTACACTTTTACCTCTCTCTCTCCCAAACCAATTGATTTTCTTGAGGTCTTGGTATGCAATCCTTAAAGTTTTTGCAATACCTTTCGATTGGTGTATTACTCATTACGATCTGACACTCACAGCAGATTTTCATTTCTTCGTGTATATATAGTAGTCGCCTTCGCACACTCTCCTGGTGCGCTTCGTCACTACATGGACTGCCGTCCATAGTGATCGTCACCGGAACAACATGAAGTTTGAGGGGTATTAATCTATAACACTAGTTTACAAAATATTATTCTTGGTGCGCTCCCCAGCACTTGATGGCAAATTTTGTTAGTGTTGGACCCCCAGATTACGAGTGTTGCGATAGATTATAAGAACTAGTTCGGCGGGACATTTCTAACACTAGGACGTATACTATCGATATTAAGGCCGATAGGGGAGATCGATATAATGTATGGGAAAGGTGACCACCATTAGATTCCTGGAAGTTAGCACATGTAAAGTTTTCACTCTTTTCTGATTTGGCACGGGAAGTAAGCGGACTAAAAGTAAGAATTGTGAACCTAAGTTAGAAACCCTAACCTAATATTGTAACCTACAGGAAATTTAAGTGCTCGCCAAATGCTCGATTTGAATTGCTTCGCATTGAAGTGCTTGCGCTAATAAATATTATTGGAAACTACGTAAGCTTCAGTATTCTTGGCGGCGCTGGAACTTTTCGAACTCCCGCAACATTCTTAAATTTCTTTTATGGTGAAATTTCCCCAGAGCGGTGCTCTGAGGCGTGCTACATACGTCATGGATCAATCTACCGAACCCAGCGGCGAGGAAAGCCATGCTTTTAAATGTTCCCTATGTCAAATAGCGAACGAGGATGTCACACTTGTCTGCAATGGCAGCGAATGTGAAAGCATGTGCCACCCAGGTTGCGCCGAGGAAAGGGTAGACGGAGTAGGTTGGATCTGCGCAGCGTGCGAGGCTGATGCCCACGAGCAGAATCACATGACGTTCAGATCAGGAAAGCTCGAGGAAACGGTTCCTTCAAAGGAATACAACACAACCCCACAAGGTGGAGACCCGGACGAGCAAGGAGCGGATGGAGCCCCTACATCGAAGAGGGAAGCACTGCACCTGCGCGAGGAGTTGACGTTGTTAGAAGAAGAGGACCACATTCTAAAACTGAGGCAGCAACTACTGCAGAGGCGAAGGGAGCTTCTGTCGAGGTCCGCAGCGGAGCGGGCTGACCTCAGTTGGACGGCAAATGTGCCGGAGGCATGCAGTACCCAAGCGTGCCAGAAACCCCAAGTGTCGAACAACACATTACTGGATGTACCAGGGTTCAACAGTAAGAAGTCATCTTACCCATGGATGTTGAGTACCGGCGGGGAGCGTGACACTGTAGTCATGTCGGGCCGACCAGCAGCCAGAATATCAGCAGAGCAGCTGGCTGCGCGGAAAACTAATGTTGCTGACTTGGTAAAGTTTTCCGGAAAGCCTGAGGACTGGCCCATGTTCCTGGCCACGTACGAACAGTCGACCGAGCTATGTGGGTTTTCCGACGCCGAGAACCTGATGCGGCTGCGCCACGCACTGGAGGGTCCAGCAAAGTTAGCGGTTCGGAGCTTAATGCTACACGCAGACTGCGTTCCGCAGATATTGTCCACATTGGAGATGCGTTTCGGAAGGCCGGAAATAATAATCGATTTGTTGCTTAAACAAATAAAACAATTTCCCTCGGTGAGGGAAAACAAGTTGGAGAACATAGTCGACTTTGCTATGGAGGTGCAAAACGTGTGCGCCACCATGAAGGCGTCCAAGTTGGAGCAGTACCTCAACAACCCTGCTCTAACGCAAGAATTGGTATCCAAACTGCCATGCATACTCCAGACCTTTTGGGGCATGCACAAGATGACTCTACGTGTGTGTACCCTGGCAGACTTTAGCGCATGGCTCTCGCAGATGGCGCAAGGAGCGAACAGCGTTATGGTTCCCAGTTCGCAAGGAAGGTCTGAGAGGCGAGGAGTGGTGAATACGCACGTGGTGCGTAAGGCATGCAAGGTGTGTCTAAAGAACTGTGGATCAGTTCAGGAGTGCAGAAAGTTCCTGGAGATGACAACTTCAGATCGTTGGAAGATGACCAGGCGATTAGGACTATGCTGGCGGTGCTTCTCAAATCACACAGTCCAGTCTTGCGGTATGGCTGGCACTTGCGGCTTAGAAGGGTGTCAGCAGAAGCACCACCCATTGCTACATCGGGAGAGCCGTGAAGGTGTTCAGGCTAACTGTAATGCTCATCGTCAAGACGCAGCAGCTGCTGTGCTGTTTCGCGTCGTACCAGTGACGCTTTACTCCAATGGGAATCAAGTTAACACACACGCCTTTTTAGACGACGGATCTTCTCTCACCCTGATTGATGAACCCCTGTTGGCGGCCCTAGGAGTGAAGGGACAACGACAGCCTCTCTGTATGCAGTGGACCGCAGGGATGCATCGCTACGAAGACGAATCCGTTAGAGTGGATCTTCAAATCTCGGGTGCCGGCATGACCAAGGTATACAATTTGAGAGATGTTCACTCTGTCAAAGCACTTGATCTCCCGGCGCAAACGTTGGATGTCGACCATCTGAAGAACAAGTACAAGCACCTAAGACACTTACCACTAGGAGGCTACGCTGGAGCCCAACCGAGACTGCTGATCGGTCTTAACAACTGCGGTCTTGGACGCGCCCTCCGCACAAGGGAAGGCAGTCTGGAGGAACCCATCGCCGAGAAGACCCGACTAGGATGGACGGTTAAAGGCGGTGGAACAACGTCCTCTACGGATGCGGAAATCAGAAGATATCATGTATTCCAGATATGTGCTTGTGAGGAGGACAACAATAAAGAGATTCTGCGACTTCTCCGACAACACCTGTGGTCGGAACAGGAAGTGGGTTACGGAGCGGAGTGTAAATCCCAATCTGATGACGATCTTCTGGCCGTCCGGCAATTGGAGGCAAATACGATGCGCGTCGAAGGACGGTTTGAGACCAGCCTGCTGTGGAGGCATAAGGATAGTGATCTACCCGATAGTCTGCCCACCGCCCTCAAGCGAGCACATTGTCTTAATCAGAAGCTGTTGCGTCAACCAGACCTGGCTAGCGAGGTGCGACGACAACTAGACGAGTACGTACGGAAAGGATATGCAAGACCAATCTCACCAACAGAAGCAGTTGAAAGCCCTTACTGGTATCTGCCAATATTCCCCGTAGTCAACGTTAATAAGCCGGGAAAGCTTCGCATTGTGTGGGACGCAGCCGCAAGAAGCGAGGGTATTTCACTTAACTCTCTACTGCTGAAAGAGCCAGCTCAACTGGCGCCTCTGGTGCCCATACTACGCAGGTACCGAGAAAGGCGAGTGGCCATCGGCGGAGACATTGCGGAAATGTTTCACCAGGTGAGAATACGCGCAGAAGATCAAAGGTATCAACGCTTCATATTCATAGACCCGGAAACGCAAAAGCGGGAGAACTACGTTATGCAAGTAATGACCTTTGGGGCAAGTTGCTCCCCAAGCTGCGCGCAATTTGTGAAGAACCGAAATGCCAGTGAATTCGAGAAGCAGTATCCGAGAGCCGTGAAGTGCATTCTTGAGAATCACTATGTAGACGACATGCTGGATAGTGTTGACACAGAAGAAGAGGCAATTAACTTGGCCAGAACCGTGCACCATATACATTCTCAAGCGGGATTCCACATACGAAACTGGGTTTCCAACTCCCGAACAGTCCTGGAGGCACTAGGACAAGAGAAGGGTGCGATGGTACAACTGGATGAGAACGCTGACAAGGGTACAGAGAAGGTTCTTGGCATGTGGTGGGATACAAAGAAGATATGATCAGGTATCGCGTATCGCCAAGATACAAGCAAGGGGAAGTGCTGCAAGGGAAACGCCGCCCCACCAAGCGGGAGTTTCTAAGCATGATGATGTCCATATACGACCCGCTTGGACTCATTTCATTCTTCGTGATGTACGCCAAAACCATGTTTCAAGAGATTTGGCGGTCTGGATGTCAGTGGGACGACCCTATACTGGAAGCAGAATGGATCAAATGGAAGCGATGGATTCATCACATTCCCAATATCGAGGAATTGTGCATCCCCAGGTGCTATATGCCTAAACAGCTGCGGGGGCACCAGGTGGAGATGCACACCTTTGTAGATGCCAGCGAAAGTGGATTCGCAGCCGTGTGTTATCTACGAATCAAATTTGGACCCGCTATCCACTGCTGCTTGCTGGGCAGCAAAGCAAAGGTAGCTCCGCTGAGGCTGGTATCTATCCCACGTCTGGAACTCATGGGCGCTACTCTTGGCGCCAGGCTGGCATATGAAGTGGAAAAGTCACTTGCCATGCAGATTTGCAAACGGATATTCTGGACCGATTCGAGAACAGTGCTGAGCTGGCTGCGCTCGGATCAGAGGAAGTACAAGCAATTTGTGGCGTTTCGGGTAAGCGAAATATTAGATACCACAAAGCAGGAGGACTGGCGCTGGGTTCCAACTTCCCAAAATGTAGCAGACGAAGCTACGAAGTGGACCCGGACACCCGACTTCAGCAGCGGAAGCCGATGGCTAAATGGGCCAAAATTCCTATGGCAGGAATCAGAAGGCTGGCCAACTGAATCAGCCCAAAAAACCGACGAAACTGATGCTGAACTAAAGGTGCAGTTTATTGGAGTATGCGCATGGAACGAAAGCATAAGTCATGCACAGCTTATCGACCCGTTGAGATTCTCTTCTTGGACCAGACTACTGCGGAGTATGGCGAAAGTGATCTGGAGCCTTCGACGCTGGAAATCAAAAGGGCTGACAGCCAAACAAGTTGAAGACTCGACTACCCAAGAGGATCTTTTAATGGCAGAAAGTATCCTATGGTCAGATGCGCAGGCCGAGCACTACCAGGACGAGCTGGCATTGCTGCGCATGGGTCGACCTCTGACGAGGAAAAGTTCCTTGTACAAATTGGGGCCGTACCTCGACGGTAACGGTGTGTTACGACTTCAAGAGCGCACGAAGATGGGAAGCGGTAAGGATAGAGTGGTCCTACCTAGCAGTAGTCCCATCACCCAGCTTATCATTGCGGAGCTACACGCAAAGCTTCTGCATGCCAACCACGAGACCCTGATCAACGAGCTCCGACAGAGTTTCTGGATCCCCAAGCTGAGGCCAACCGTTGCACGCTTACGTCGATCCTGTCAAATATGTAAGAATAGGCAGGCAGCACCCAGGCCACCTCGGATGGCAGATCTCCCATATCCAAGGCTGGCTGCATTCCATCGTCCGTTCAGTTACACAGGAGTGGATTATTTTGGACCTCTTCTGGTTACGGTTAGGCGAAGCTCGGAAAAAAGATACGGAGTGTTGTTCACTTGCCTCTCTACGAGAGCCATACACTTGGAGGTAGCGTATTCCCTAACAGCCGACTCTTGTATTCTAGCAGTGCGCAACTTCATAGCTCGGCGTGGCAGGCCCGTGGAACTGTGGAGCGACAACGGCACCAACTTCCAAGGGGCTAGTACCGAACTCCGGAGGGCACTGGACGTGCTGGACAAGGTTCAGCTGGAACGTGAGTTTACCGGCCCTGAGATGAAGTGGAAGTTCATCCCTCCTGCATCGCCCCACATGGGTGGGGCTTGGGAGCGCTTGGTGCGATCAGTGAAGGTGGCTCTGTACTCCATTCTATCAAGCGCACGACCCTCGGACGAGTTGCTTCGCGGGGCGCTAATGGAAGTAGAAATGATAGTGAACTCTCGGCCGCTCACCTACATCCCGGTAAAAGACGAGAATGAGGAGGCCCTCACACCTAATCATTTCCTGCTCGGGAGTTCAAGTGGAAGTAAGCCGGCTACGGAACCTACTGTCGAAGGAATGCTGCTCAAAAGGAGCTGGATGGCATCGCAGCAGCTTGCGGATATGTTCTGGAAGCGGTGGCTATTGGAATACCTGCCGGTGATCACGAGACGTGGGAAATGGTGTCACGATAGCAAACCGCTAGAGGCAGGAGACATTGTTTACGTCTGCGACCCTGGCAACCCCAGATCCAGCTGGCCCAAAGGCCGTATCTTGAGCGTGAAGCTCAGCGCAGATGGACAAGTGAGGAGCGCTACAGTGAAGACGATCTCTGGAGTATACGTGAGACCAGCCACGAAGCTTGCAGTTCTATCTATCGAGTCTAATGGGGTAGAATCCAGTCGGAATATACCGGCGGGGAGTGTTGCGATAGATTATAAGAACTAGTTCGGCGGGACATTTCTAACACTAGGACGTATACTATCGATATTAAGGCCGATAGGGGAGATCGATATAATGTATGGGAAAGGTGACCACCATTAGATTCCTGGAAGTTAGCACATGTAAAGTTTTCACTCTTTTCTGATTTGGCACGGGAAGTAAGCGGACTAAAAGTAAGAATTGTGAACCTAAGTTAGAAACCCTAACCTAATATTGTAACCTACAGGAAATTTAAGTGCTCGCCAAATGCTCGATTTGAATTGCTTCGCATTGAAGTGCTTGCGCTAATAAATATTATTGGAAACTACGTAAGCTTCAGTATTCTTGGCGGCGCTGGAACTTTTCGAACTCCCGCAACAACGAGAATACCACTTTTTTTTTCGATGGTACAGTTTTTTTAAAGATTTTTAAAGTTTGAAATGTTGAATTTCGGACTTTTTTCTAATTTATTCTTATATCTCGGCATATATACACCCGATTGGGTCGGTTTTTATTTTATTTTAAAGTCAATAGATTAGATGGCCCAAATCCTTGGAAAATTGGATTTATGGTGGATTTTTAAAGTTCGGATTTTTCAACTTTTTTCGGTTGACGGAGTCCAAATTTAAGATTTATCATAGGCGGCGACATGTAAACAAAAATGAGTGGTGTTGGCAGCCGGGTCACTAAAAAGTCAAATCAGATATTTAAAAGATAGAAAATATTAAAGTGAATTTAATTTTTGTAATTAAGGTTACTTTTTTTATAAGAATGAATTATCCAAATGGATAGTACCTAATTAAAACAAATAAGAGGTAACCCAAAATAATGTACAGGTTGCCATGGAAGTGTGGGTGAAGAAAAAAAAAGAAGACTCCGTCTAAGTCTCCTTAAATCCCTGATCGTTTGAAGATCTGTTCCTCCTTGGTTATCTCAGTAGTGGGTATAGTCGATTACAACTCTTGTAGGTACATTTTAGTAGTTTCAGACAGAGCACTTAATTTCTTGTTTTTATGTTTAGGATTGTCTTAAGTAGAAAGAACCCACGCCAGTCCAACAAGCATAGCGCAGAGCATCGCTAGAAGTGCACGACCTCTACGACAGCATACCCCAGATCAGCTTGAGAACCGTTAGGATTCGAGTTGAACGCTACATAGTTTATATACCATTGCAGGTATAACAGCTTATTTAAAATGTTGTTTTTAAATTGTCAAAAGTTACAATGTTTTTTCTATTATTCCTATGGGAGCCAGAAAATATAGTGGTCCGATCCGGCTTGTTCCCACATATGTAATAACTGTGTTCAGTCCCACGGTACACAGTTTATCCACACAGCTGATAGCCCTGCCAACTGACTTCGAAGGTCAAGATATCTGGCAACTCTACAGTACGAGAAGGAGGAGAAGAGATCCCAGGAACACGAGCTTCAGCGACAAGACCAACAGCAGTCTTGTCTTTCCATTGCGAAATATTAAAGTAAAATCATGACCCAAAGTTAAGTGTAACCGTTATAACCTAATGAATTAAAGATTGAATTGTTATATTTGAACTTCAGTCGTTTTAACTAATCCCAAGAGCCCCACTTACTATGACAGCCGTGTATATTAATTTCGGCACGGCGTCACAATCGATCATGGTGGCCCATGAGGGGACTCTTGCTTGAAGTTTAAAATCTGAGTTTGATCTTTCATTTGTTAAATTATAAAACATATCACTTATCCCGCTATCTCACACAAATTGCGATCGTCTTCGTTTGGATCACGTGAGTACGGGTGCTATTGATTTTACCAAGTGAAGCTAGGTTAGGTTATATATAAATTGGTAACACAATATCACAATATGTCTGACACCGAAGCTGATGATCCATCATTTGTTACACTTCAAAAGGAGCGTCTTCTTAGTCTTACACGTCTGCTACAGAATTACAAGAAGGATTCCGCGTCTCGAAAAACCGAAAGCTATTATGTGAAACGCCTGCAGCAAATCGAGAGTTTAAATTCGGCTTTTGAGACCACCCATCAAGTAATCATCTGCACAGAGGGATACGACAAAACGGACTATCACGCCAAGAAGATCGCCGTCACTTTTGAGGATCTGTACATGGAAACCTACTGTCCAGTAGCTGAAGACCAACGAATCAAGTTCCCAGTGTTGCCGTCCTCAGCCTCGTCACCACCCGCCGTTTCGACGGTGGCCGACGCACGTGTCCACATGCCACAACTGCCAATGCCCAAGTTTAGCGGAAACTGCGTTGATTGGCCGGGATATTATGACACCTTCACTCGGATAATTCATAAAAATGAGCGGCTGGACAATATTCAACGGTTTCATTTTCTCAAAGAATCTCTGCCAGCTGGTCAGGATTGCGATATTCGGCAAATTCCTTTGACGACCGCTAATTATACGGTGGCATGGGACACATTAGTTAAACGTTATAATAATCCACGCGCGGTCTTCTCTAACCACTTGAACATGTTGTACCAGTTGCCAAGCCTAACCAAGGAGAAGCCCGATGATATCCGATCCATGATAAGTGCAGTCAACGTCTGCGCAGCCGCCTGTAACAATATCAACGCATCATTGCAGGACGGTGATCAGTGGCTCGCCCATTTTTTGACATCAAAATTACCGAAAGACACGCACTCCGCCTGGGAGCATTATCTAGGCAGTCAAACCCACATTCCCTCGTACAAGGATCTTGAACAGTTTCTCAACAACCGCTTAATCACCCTAGACGCCATTGAAAACAGAAACTGTTCGGGCACAAGCAAATCTGGATCATCCCAATCAGACACTACCAAACGCATCTCGGTTCATAACACCCATGCGCAACCAAGCCCCCCTGTGCTTCGTTGCCCACACGGCGATGGTAATCATATCCTTCGTCGATGTCAGCGATTCCTAAGCTTGGACTGCTACCAACGTAAGGAGGTCATGAGTAAATCAAACCTATGCCTTAACTGCTTGAGCAAATCGCACATGCTTGCCCGCTGTCCAAGTGTAAAGAATTGCTACCACTGTGGACACCACCACCATTTTTTGCTACATCCGGCAGCGGCGCCAAGCATCACTCAAGCACCCCAACCCTACTCCACGACCGTACCATCCCGTCAACCACATATCGCTTCGATTATGAACAACAACACCGTACCAGTTAGCCCCCCTGCTAACCCAAACCTACAATGTTATTCTTCCACAGCCTCCCATGCAACGCGACAGAATATCTTGTTAGCTACCGCACGGGTTATTGTCTGCCACCCCCAGAGCGGCGCTCAAGCAACAATAACTGCCCTCATCGACCAGGGGTCGGAAGCTACAATAATCTCAGAGCATGCAGTCCAAGCTCTCCAACTTCCACGATGCAGAATTCGCGCTTCCATCGCCGGTGTCGGCCAAACTCTGGGTCAACGGTGCAGCTATACAGCAAGCTGCTGCATCCGAACGTCACTAAACCCAACGTTTTACGTTTTACGTTTTAAACTCGCTAACCTCACATTTAACACATCAATGGACTCCAACTCTCAGATCCTCAATACTATCGCTCAAAGCGCATAGATCTCATCATCGGAGCCGACCTCATGGCGGGTCTACTCCTTCCGGGAACCCAAATCGGAACTCTAGACGAACACATTGCACAAAATTCTCATCTGGGTTGGATGATACTTGGCAAATTCTAGGATTCAATCCACACATTTACTATTCGCTGTCATCGAACCGCCCTATATACGGAAGCGCTGTTAAGGTATTTCTGCGAAATAGAATCCGTCCCAAGCCGATCCCTTCACTCTGATGAAGAGCGGTGGTGTGAGTCCTTCTTTAAGGACACGCACGTCAACCAAACGGTAGTTTTATGGTTCGACTACCTTTCAAGTGGTATTTCGATCCCACAATGACCCTGGGAAATTCGCATCAAGTCGCATTAAACAGGTTCCTTCAACTAGAACGGCGTTATCAACGGGATCCGGAAAAATGGATTCGCTACAAAGAGGGAATAGATGAGTTTTTTGAAGTGGGACAAATTACACCAGCAATCTCAAGTGAGAATGCAACAGTTGTTACCTCCACAAAATCCTGTCGGGTCGAATCCTGCGTTCTGCCTCATCACGATGTCTATAAAGCGCATTGTATTCGACGCATAGGCAAAAACCTCAAACGGTCGATCTCTAAACGATGTTTTGTCCGTAGGACCCACGCTACAAAATGATCTCTCTGCTGTGTTGTTGAATTGGAGACAGTACCGATACGTGTTGATTAGGGAGGTCCAAATTTGTATGAAAATTTTTAAGGGCCTACTCTCACCCGCTTATACGGTGCGCATTGTGGTATTCAAGGTATACCAAAAGACAATTTTTAAAAAAATCGTGTTTTAGGGTCTGCGAATTGGTTTCAAAGTTTATCACCCATAAGCAGTGTTGCCTTCGATCAAAAAGGTGGCATAGATATCAACAATTCAGTTGATGTTTTGCTCTCCTTTTTTTTAACAATTATTCCAAAGAAATTCATAATTTGACAAGACAAGAAATGGGAGGGCGATTTTTTTCGACCAAATTCGAACTGTTATACATGTCGTATGAGTAATTTTAAAGCAAACTTTGAAGACGTTTCGCGAGGTCTAAATCTCGAAAAAAAATTTTTTGTTTTCACATACATTTTTTGCATACTTTAATATACCATGTTAGGGGGTGAGAAAAGAATTTCATTTTTTGGACCGCCCTAGTGTTCACTGCCAACATCCAGCGCTTGTACCGTTGCCTCGACGTACATCCGGACGACACACAGTATCAGGGTATTTTATGGCGGGCGGCGGATGGAAACATCAAGCAATATTGTCTATCAACTGTAACCGCTTCGGCACCATTTACCGCCATAAGAGTAATTCGTCAAATTGCAGATGAGCGCGTATTTCCGTATTTCCTTACAAGTGGCGCCCGAGCAGGGACATTGAGGCTAACTAGAGCAACACCAAAGTTGCCTAAAGACCCACCAAATACAAATCTTTATCCTAATGAATCGCACTCCTGATGAGG